GGCAGGTTAACCAGGCCCAGGAGTAAGTGGCAGGAATACAAGGGTCCAGGTGGCAGCAGGGACAGGGGACCAGAGGGAAGCTAGCTGGACAGAGGAGTGGCAGGGACACCACTAGTAGACAGGGAGCTGAATCTGCTGCTAGGAGGCTTGGTGGACCGGCCTGCTGGCTGGTGAGGACAGGGGCCCATGGAGCCCACCAAAGCAATGGGTCTTTGCGGGCTGCAGCATTGTCCCCCGGCAGCATAGTATGTTGGGTGGAGAAAGGGATGGGAAAGACCCACCAGTAGCACTGGTCCCCACCCGATGGGGTTTCCACCACCTGCCACAGAGCAGCAGCCCCCTCCCACCCTGAGGCTCCAGTGCCCCCATGCAGGGGTCTGTGCCCGTACGGACCAACCTGATGGACGGCTCCAAGCTTCTCCGCCGCACCCATGGCCCGCTCGATGGCCCCCGCCAGCACCGTCAGGCTGAGCTGCAACTGCTCCACCACCTCCTTGCGCTTGGGGTCTAGACATGAGAGGCCCAGCTTCTGCGGGGAGGGGGCGGGAGGCCCAGCATTACCTCCACTTAACCCAATCCCCTGGGGTGGCTGCTCCATGCTCCCCCACCAGTGCCCTCAACAGGACTGTAATGGACCCAGAGCTAGGAAGAATTCAGCCAAGGAGATGCCCTGGGTGGCGTAAGAAGCACTAGTCAGCCAGACGCTGCCACTCGCTTGGCAACGATGGAAAGCCTATCCCAGAGGAGAGCCAGTCTGGGCAGGGGCAGGATAGGGTCCCTTGTTTCACACAGGCCACTGAAACGCCAGTGAAAGGGATGGTGCTGGGGTGCTGCCCACCTGGCTGGATTCAGACCAACGGCCTTGAGTCAAACACCCCGGGCATCCAGCACCAGAACCACAAACGAGGCAGCTCCCACCCGGGAGGCAACTCCCAGGGCGCCAGGACACGGCTGCAGTTGTAGGCAAAGAGGAATGAGCCAGAGCACACAGAGACAGGGAAGCCCTACCACGGCCAAGGGCATCCGTCCCACTAACTCTGGCAGTACTTCATCGTGCCCATGCCCATGCCCATTCCCTACTCGGGAGGCAGGCCTGAAGGGCTGGGATCTAAAACCCAACCTCACCCCCTGCTCTCAGCAGGAAGCCAGGCCAGCAATGGGGCTCTGGACACCCCACAGAGCAGGCTGTGCCCTGGGGACCCGCCTCTGGCCAGCCCTACCAACCTGCACGGCCGCCCGGCACTCCTCCAGCTCCTGCTGGATGTTTTCCTCCGCCACATCGCGCGCCCGCTCCTCCACCTGCACCCGCCGGCGCAGCGTGAACATGTCGCAGCGGAAAGCTAAGGCCAAGTGTGCAAATGCTGCCTGCAAAGGGAAAGGACAGATGGGGTCACTGCAGCCCCACAAGGACACCTGGAAAAAAGCACCTGGCAGGGACACCAGTCACAAAGCACAGACGATGCCACTCCCAGCTTTGCCCAACCGGTTCCATGACCGTCCCAGCAACTCAGGGTGGCGGGGATGGAGAGAGATACCGGGCCTTGCAGAGCTTCCCTGGGTCAGCAATGCTTTCATCCCTGCCCTGGGCTCTTACCGAGGGGGCTTCCCCACCTGCAGGCAATGGTAAGCAGGGGGAGACACCCCTGTCCTGTACTTGTCTGACTTGGGGCCCACACTAGTCTCACGCTGGTTTAGTTCCTGATCTACACACGGTGAAACGAGCAGACTTGGGCCCTTCCTTCGCTGCCACGCCCCCTCTCCAGACCCCAGCCGAAGGGGCAACAGCAGAAGACTTTGGGGCTCCAAGCCAGGCAGCTGGGTCCCTGGGGGCTGCTGGAAGGAAGTGGGATAGGGAAGAGGGGGAGATAAAAGCCTCACCAACTAAATCAAGGCAATCCAGCTGAGTTAGCCACTAAACACGGGTTGCCCTATCAGAGGGTTCGGTGCCCCTCATCTGCGGGCACCAGGAGTCGGCCAGACAGGCCTCCTCCTCAACAGATGCCCAGCAGATGCCGACTGGCAAGCAAAAGCCCCGTGTCAGCCCTGGCCCTGGGAAGCTCATTATTACTATTACGAGGGCTCTCATCTCCTGCTGATTTAATGACGCCTTTTGCAAGCCTCCAAGCACTCCACAGAATGAACAAGCGCTGCATCACACGCCCAGAGGAATCACTTTGCTGTGCAGGGGATGCCCCTGGTTCCTAGGAGGGGACGCGAGGGATGCGCGCATGCAACAGAAACTGCCAGGGCGGAGGGGAGTCAGCAGGGGGTCATGAAAGGGGGGAGGACGGTTCTTGCTGAAAGCACAAGGCCAGGAGTTTGGACTTCTGGCTCCTATTCCTGCTCTGCCGCTGAGTCACAGGAGGACAACGGGCAAGTTACTTCACCACGCTGTGCCTCATTTTCCCCACTGGTCACATACCCTTGGTGTCTCGGCTGCAGCTGCAGTTTGGGGACCCAGACACCTGTCCCTGGGACCCTGTGCTGCACAACAGAAACCCCGGTCAGGAAGGAACTCAAGCCACTTTCAGAGGGTAAGAACTAACTGTGGGAAGTGACCACCTAGAGGAGAAAGCCCCTGTCCCTCCATGCCTAAACCCTGGATAACGCACCAGGTGGCACACAGACAGCATCTGAGCTGGTGCTGACCTAGCTGGAGGTGTCACAAGAGGACTCTGGGTTAGCCCATCTGCTGCAGGACTCCAGTATCACCCTCCACAGATCTGAGCACCACACTACAGAGAGGGCAGCGACCAGATGCATTTTGCCTCGGGCACCAAGTACACCTTGCAGCACTGGTGTCTGAAGCCTGTGCATGGATTTTTCCAGGGGAAGGAGGAAGAGGACACGAATCCATGGGTGCGTCCATGAGTCCCTCTCACTACAAGCTGCTGGAAGGATAGGATGAGGGCAGTGCTCACCTCCACGTCCTGCTCAGTCAAAGCCACTCTGCAAAGGAAGAACACGGACGGTTGTAAGCAAGGGAGACAACGCAGAGCGCGGGGCAGAGCCAAGTGCCCGACCGCAGCCAATTCCCAAGGGCCCGGCGATGGCACCTAGGGCTCTCCAGGCAGCTCTAGCAGTCAGTGCCTATGGTGGGGGGAGCTGTGAGAGGCAACACCACCCATCCGCTGGGAACCAGAGAGAGCCAAACTTCTCTCTCCCAGGCCCCAAGCAGCCCTGAAATGGGGGCATCTTTCAGTCACTGCCAGGACAGGGCCTGTCTCCTTCTGCTGTGGGATACAAGCAGTGGGGGTATGAGGCCCCGGAGCTGGATCTGAACCAGCAATGGAGGGTGAGGGGCTCTGTAACCCCTGACCTCCTCAGCTACTCCCCCGAGGCACCTGCCCGGGCTCCACGCACAGGCCAGCCCTCTGTCACCTTTGCTGACCACCGTTTAAATCTCCAAGCTCCTTGATCAAGCAGCAGTGTCTAATCCCTGCACTTTGGTAGGAGGAGAAGGGGGGTCAGGCCACGGCCGGAGACCCTACCTGTGCAGGCCCAGTCTCTCCAGCACAGACAGCTCTGTCGCAGAGGTCACCAGCAGGTCCTCAGCTGGGTCAGGATCTGGGGAAAAAGGGCGATCATTCATCCGGAGAGACAAGAAAGGAGATGGACAGAGGGGATCAGACACCTCCCAGCTGCCTCCATGGAGGCAGATGTCTTCTCTCTAACACTAAGGGCCACAGTGGGGAGGGCACTAGCATGGGAACCTGAGAAAGTTGGGTCCAGTTCCTTCTTCTGCTACCCCCTTTGTGTGTGACCGTGGGCAAGTCACTTCAGGCCTCACTTCCCAAACTGTAAGATGTCCTTTCTACCTCCCAGGGGACAAACACACTGACCAGTGTGAGCTATGACACTTCAGTGACACGGGCATAAAAGTACCCAAGCTAGACGGGGTGAGGGCATTGTACCCGGTGTATGGCACAGGCCAGTGGAGAAGGGCCCCTCTACTTGTATCATGAGGCCGGGTCACAGAGCCCCCAAGGGAAATCACTCTGGACCTAGAAGAATAATGTTCTGCTGTCCCAATCCTACCCTGGCCTAGACTAGGCGAGTCCAGCTGTGTCTGCAGAGGCCTGGCTCCTGACTAGGGAGCCCTCTTGAAACAGCACTGGGTCCTGCCCCACCAGTGTTGCTGACTTAGGGGCAGGGTGGGCACCAGTGAACTGGCAGGCCCCAGGGACAGACGCAACAGAGATGCTGAAGAGACCAACCCACAGGGAAGTGACTCAAGACCCAAGCCCTATCTCTTGGTTGGAAGTGCCATCAGTGTTCGGGGGTAGAACTGGGTCATGTGAGAAACCTCAAAGGCTTCCCCAGAAACACCATCTGGGGACTTAAGGCACCTGTGCCCCAAGAGGCATCATGAAACACCCTCCTGCTCCTGCTCACGGAGAAGGCAGTGGGGTGGGTGAGAGGAGATGGGCTTGAGAGCATGGTCTTCTCCCCCATGGGACCTTTAAGAGAACAGATGCCCCTGCCTCAAAGACGGCAGGTTGGGTTGGCCGGAAGGGCAGGGTCACAGCCCCGTTCTACCGGCGAGGACGTCAGTCCGCCCCTTTGATCCAGAGCACAATGCAAGAAGCTGCTTCCAGCAGCCTGAAAAGCTGGGGATACCCTCCCCACTGCTGCTCTTCCTCTGCCCTGCAGAGAGGAAGGGGGCTGGAAGGGAGAAAGAAGATGAAGCAGGGGAGGAAGGAGAAAATAGGAGAACGGGGAGAAGACAGACAGGCGGAGGGGAGCAGAAAGAAGAGATGGAGCAAGAGGCAGGAGGCCAGGGAGCGGTGTGGATGGCAGCTCCATAGCCTGAGACTCACTCACCAACCTTCATCGCTCTCCCCGCTGTCCCCGACCTGCAGCGCCAGCTCCCTTCTGCCAGCCCCATCCACCTGGCCTCGCACCTGGGGGCGCACAGGACACGACAGCAGAGAAAAATGGGTCTTAACAGCATGGGGCAGGGCAAACACCCCCCACCCCCACCAGGACAATGAAGAATGCAGCCCCTGGCCCCACGCTTGCAGGGCTGGCTGCGAGAGGGCAAAGCTGGGGCAGTGGGGTGGGGGGCAGGAGACCTGACAGCGGGGTGCTCCTTCCTGTCAGAGGGAATTAAACTAAGAACCTATCCGAGAGAGCACATCAATGGGGGAGAAGCAGAGGATGCACCGGTAGGTAAAGTCCCTCCCGATGCTACAACTGCCCACCTCATCCCCCCGCATCTCACCTCATTGTTGTCCAGGCTCTGCCCCCTCAGGGCCACAACCCTTCCAGAGTAGCCCTGCAAGTTGCTCGTCAGGCCTAGAGAGAAGGCAGAAGAAAGGCCCGTTGGAGCTTGGAGGAGTTCCTTTTGGTCTGTAATGAGTTAAAGGGGGAACATGAGCAGCATCTTCCTGCTAAACCCAATGCCAAAAGCCAGCAGGGAGCTGCATAAACCTCTGGACGGTGCGGGCACCAAACACGGAGGCAAAGCTGTCTCCTCCAGCAACAGCTGCTAATGCACTCCGGGTCCTTGGAGGTCAAGGTGGCATGAGAAATCTAACATTTGTGCATTGATTATTACTATTAATATTACAAGACCGAGAGTGAGTGGATGTGCTAAGCCCAGCCCAGCCCAGCATGGGCCACATCAGTAGATACTGGCTGGGTATCACACACCCCAGATTGCACCAGGTCATGCACCTGCCACAGCACAAGGAAAAGGCCCTCTCCCAAAATCAGGTCCTCCAGTACGTCCCGTGCTGGTGAGAGGAGCACAGGCTGAGCCTCAGAGAAGACTCGTGGAAGTGCCAGCCGCTGCGCAGGGCTGAACGGTTGCACGGCAGTGCCTGCAGCTGGCAGGGGGAGGCAGAAACTAGCCTGTGCGCCCACTGCAGACGAAGCAAAGAGGACCTTACTGATGAGGAGAGAGGTGTAGGGATGCAGCCTGCTGTCCTGCTTCTGAAGGCAGACTTCCTACTGAGACACAGCAAAGGGGGCACTGGGGACAGCCTAAGCATGGAGAGGCCCAGATGTCCACCTGGGTTAAACACCCAGCTTGCCAAGACTGGCATCCAGCCGGGCAACGGCTGAGCCTCTGGCTTCCCGGCGGGGAGGGGGAAGGCAGGCACATGCTTGGCAGAACAAGGGGGCACTGCACAGCTTACCCTAGCTCCCTTTGCCCGCACCCTACCGCCATCCTCTCAGCCTCACGGCTGCTCCGTTACCTGAGTTGGGAGATGCCATGAGTCTGGCCAGCTCTACCTGCTGCTGCTTCAGTTGCTGCTTGCTGAAAGGAAGGACAGGAGCCCAGGTTAAGGAACAAGAAACTCCTCTGAAGAGACCAGCCTGTAAAGAGCCAGCGACAGCACAGCCCCACAGCCACCCTTTGCTGGGCCTGACCCACAGACCAAGGCCCGGGACCAGAAGCACCCCCATGATAACCTTATCTTGCACCGCGAGCCCCCGCACCGCTCAGGGCTGCTTCCAGGCTCCACTGCCTCTTCCCCACTGGCCCCAGCACCCCTCTGTAGCCTGCGCCTCCGCTGCCGCTCACCTGGCATGTGCTAAGCCGCCCTTACCCTTTCGATGCCACCCTTTTATCCCTGCCAGACCGGGCGGGAGCCAGCTGATGCTGCGGAGTCCTTGCTTATGACCTCTCCCTTCCCGGGAAGCTGGGCACCGAGATGCTCTCCAAAGCCATTTCCAAAAAGGAATGAGTCACCGGCCCACAGCGATGTTTGTATTCATTACATTTCACCCAGCTGCCAAATGGACCTTGCATCCCCTGGCAGCAGGAGCGCCAGCCTCCTCTGGGCAGGCATGAAAACAACCCGCTGGCGACGGAGCAAGAGTGCCACCTGACGGGCATCCTGCCTCACGGCAAGCAGCTGGCCCCGGGCTGTTTCTGTGTGTGCTCTCGTTTCCTAAACATCCAAGTCCTCCTTGGCTGGGGGGGTTGGAGAAGAAGAGCCCAAGGGGGTTCATAACAACCCCAGTGACAGCCCTGCTCAGCCGAATAAAGACTGATGTGTCGATACACTGGAGTTCAAGTCTCGCACACGCACAGCGCTGAGATGAACACAGCGCCTCTTGGAAAGCTGCCGACATGGTATAATAGGCAGCATCCACAAGGGAATCCTACACGAACCGCGCTTAGCACCCTAGGCATTTCCCAGCCGTCCCTTGCAGTCAGCGAGAGGAGGCCACAGCTGCAAGAGGGTTGCTGGGGACGGGACGGTAGCAGGGGGAAACTTGGGCAAAGCGCTACAACTTGAGCCATCAGCATTGTCTACTGGTCAGAGCAGGAAGCATGAATCTTGATCTCCACCTCCCTTTCTTGCAAGTCAGCATCAGCCCATTTTAAACCATACTATAGCTCCCCCCTTGTCCCCTTGCTTTGGTCATTCATAATAAACATCAGTCTGGCAGGCTCAGGCAATCAAGCTACAGTGCCCTGAGCCAATGTTTCTGCCATTGCCCTATAATAATCCTCAAGGGCCATGCTGCCTTGAGCTTTCCTTTTCCCTGCTTGCTTTTCGGTCCTCCCAGCTCACTATAAGCTCAGCCAGTCTTAGAGGACACATCCGATAGCACGCCACCACACAGTATAAGCCTTCTTTGAGTGTTGATGAGTTATTACAGAGCAGCTCAGATGCAGAGCTGCCACACGGGACTCCCCACGTTGCCCACTCCCTCACTGGGTGACCTGGGGCAAGACATACCTGTGCCTCAGTTCCCCTCTCTACTAGGCTGCCGTCTCCCTTGGCTGGTGCTTGGAAGTCTATGGACACAGGCACCTCCGCCATAGCCCCATGCTTGCCAGAGGGAGAACGCCTCTCCAGTGTTATATTTTTAAAGCTGTTTCTCACCCAGCAACGACTCCCAGTTCCTCTGCTCTGTGCAGAGGCGTCCGCCGGGAAGGTGGCAGCGAGGGTGGTTTTATTTGAGAGGCTGCTGTTTTGCTGGCTTGTTTCAAGCAGTTACAAAAGAAAGAAAATGTGGAATTTATTGCAAAGGCAGAGGGGAGGGAGACTGCGATAAGGCAGAGCTGACAGCCCCTCCCCTACGGCGCAGCCCCCATCTCAGTATCCCTTTTTCTAACTCCTGCACTGAAATCACCTGCCAGCCTCCTGCCGGGACGATTCAGTAGAGATCTTCTGGCTGTCACGGACTATTTGGGCTCCTTTAAACCATGGCTGCCGTTAGCCACTTACTTGCTATGTGCCTCAGTTTCCCCACTGATACACTGGGGGGTGATGATAGCACTCTATCAGAGGGCTGGTACCTATTAACTAAAGAATGGCTGGGGAATGCTTTGGGCTTATCCGATGGGAGGCACTGCATGTGTCCCAAGTCAGTGCTACTATGCCTGCTTTTGTCACTCCATCGTAACAATAATACAGGTCTGGTCATTGTTCAGTGATGGATCTGATTCTCATCAATAGGCTTCCCCCATCCATCACACATGCAACAGGACAAGCTCCCAACACACCACTCTGCCCGCGTGTTTGAACCTTTGCCTGGGAAGTGAGCTCAGTCTCCTTTCAGCTGAGACTGCAACAAAGGAAGGAAGGAGTCAGAGTTTGAATCAGAACTTCCTAGACCTTAAGTGCTGGAGGCTGCAAGTGAGAACAGGGGAAAAAACCCTGGTCCGTCCCAGTTCCCTCTCCCTGCAACAGAAGCCTGGGCAAAAGGGAGCTACGGTCTGGGCAAGTAAATGGCAGTTCTTATGCCTTTTCCAGTGTCTAGTGCAGTGGTGGGCTTGGCAGTGAAACATGTCCCTTCTCAGCACTGAGACCCACCAGCCTGACCATACATCACCCAGCTTTCCATTCTGCTTAGCAGAGCTGGATTTGAACTATGGGTGCAGACCTCTCTGCTGCTGCACCCCACTGCCAGCTCCCTGAGCGACCCAGCTGCCCTCTAGGATTTTACCTGCAAACCAGCTCTTCCCTCCAGCAGTGTCTGTCAGAGCCAGTGATAGATGCCTACAGCCACTGAAGCTGTTGACTCAGCACTTTCCCCTCCCTGCCTAGATACAGGGGAAAATGAAGCACAGGACTCCAGGCTAAGCCTCGCTGACCAGGAGCTATCTAATGGCATTGGCAGTAAATTCTGCACTGAGAAGGAGATGTCACTTCCATAAGTAATGGCCTAGATCAGCAATTTTCAACCTTTTTTTCATCTGAAAATTTTGAATGGAGGTGTGAATAGTGGATAATCGCATACTTTTGATTGCTCCTAGTCATCTTTCGCGGATCCCTTAGACATGGTCTGCAGACCCCCCAAGGGTCCGTGGACCACAGGTTGAAAACCACTGGCCTAGATATCATGGGGATGGGCACACAAAAGGCATGGTCAATGCATGTGTCTGAACACGGACAGATTAGCAGGGTGATAAACAGGTACTTGGAGCAGTGGGCAGTTGGGCGGATAGAAAGAGTTGTCACGTACAGGGATAGATAACGCACGGATATGGATAGATGAGCAAGTGTAAAGGCAGAGAGGTAGCAAGACTACGTGGCAAAGACAGTGCTCATCTGTGTTGGCTGGAAGGGAACCAACAGCCTTTCCGGGACTGTAATAATAACAATATTGATAATAACATGCCACTGCAGCCATGTAATCGGTCCATTGAAGTGGCTCCGCTTCTGCATCTGCTGGCTTTTTAAAATAACTAAGCCAGTGTGATGGGCATCGTACTGCTGGGGAAGGGGGAGATGATCTCCGAGGGGGGCACAGGACCATTGGCAGAAGCACTGGCCGAGAAGGTGGATGCCCTGTGATCAGAGAGGGGTGAGTTGTGAAAAGTGTGAGATTAGATGAAACTAGAATAAAAAAAAAAAATAGGGTGATAAACAGCTGGAAGAATATGAGCTGATACGAACACGTTCACAGCAAAGGAAACATCTCATCTCTCCGGGCTATCAGAGATCTTTTACTGTATCAAAAGGGCAGTTGGAGGAGAGTTTATTTAAGCTTTGGAGAGGCCTTTGACAAGGTGTGACAGGGTAGAGTCCCTTTGAAGACATAGAAAGGTCTGTTTGGCAATGAGGAGCAGGTGGGGGGGATCAGACCCCTGGCTGGATTCCCAGCTGGGAGCATCTCAAAAGAGCCCAGGCTCAGAAAGAAGGGGAAGATGAAAGAGATTGTTGCTCCTGAAAGAAGCTGAAGAACTGAAAGGACAAGGGTATTTTCTTTCAGTCTCCCCCACTAAATGTAGTGGGCAGAGTGGTTTTGCGTCAAAGGACCACTCCAAATAAAAGACCTGTCAGCCGACCCCTGAAAGATGGGTGGCTGTGACCTGCACTGGCAGGAGGCACAACCGGCTCACATAAGGACCGGCACAAAAAGGCTGTTAAGGAAATGTAGTGATAAGACGAGAGGCAAAACACGCTCAGGAAGCAAGAGAGCCATTAGGGTTAACTGCTCAGGGCAAGAGGTTACCATGAGGGGTGCTCAGGATTATATAGTAGCCCTGAGCCCCACCACGGTAACCTCTTGCCCTGAGCAGTTAACCCTAACACGACGATCTGGAAAAAAGGGATGAGCAGAGATGCAGCAAAGTTTGCTGAGGGCACAGAGTTGTTTCGACCAGTGGGTCTCAACCTTTTTTGTACCAGGACCCAGTGGGCAGTCCCAACCGGTGCCCCTCGCTCCCAACCCACTGCCCCCTCGTGTGAGGGGTGGTGGGACACAGGGCCCCCCAAGCAGCCCCTTGCAGGCTGGAACTTTGCAAGCCTGCAAGGGAAAAGCCACGGTTTCCTCCGGTTTTCTCCTTTAAAGAGGAATCCGCTTGTTAAAAGTCTGTTCGCAACCCTTTTGATATGTTCTTGCGACCCACTTTTGGGTCACGACCCACAGGTTGAGCAATGCTGGTTCAGATGAAGGAAAACCCAGCGAGGAGCATAAAGAACCTGCAGAGAAGCCTAACTGAGCTCACCGAACGGGCACCACAAGGGCAAGTGATGTTCAGGGTTGATAAATGCAAAACAATGCACAACAAAGGGAAAAGTTCAAGTTACCCAGAAGTCTTGCAGGGCACTGAGTTGACGGGGTTGATTTAGGGAAGGGACCTGGGTGTCACTGTAGACATCACCACTATAGTTTTCTGCTCACTGTGAAGCTACGGTCAAAAAGCAACAGTGCCCAAGTAACAGGACGGAGCCTGTTATATAGCTTTGTATAAATCAGTGATGCACACTCGCATGGAGTGCAGGATGTGGGACTGGTCATGCCTTATCCAGAAAGGATCTTGGGGGACAAGAGGGTGGCAGAGAAATGGTCAAGGGCCTAGAAAAGCTCTCCCAGCAAGAAGTACTGAAAAGCCTGGGCTGATCCTTTAGAAAGCAAAAAAAAAAAAGAAAGAGAAGGCAATAAAATCTTATAGAATAACAAATGAGCTGCTGAAGGTAGGCTGAGGCCTCTCTCCTCCCAATTTCATAACACGAGAACCAACGGGAGTTTAAAGGCAGAAACTTCAAAACAAATGACAAGAAAGATTTCCATACAAGGTGCAGCCGGGCTGTGGAGCTCCTTGTCACGGGAAGTTATGGGGGCCCAGAATTAGATAGGATTCAAAGAGGAACTGGGCACTTATATTGGTGATGAGATTATCCCACTCAAATATCTCACACTAGGAAAATGTTTGCGGGGTCGTTACGCCTCATGCCAGCAAGCCACTCTCCAGTGATTAGGAAGATTCCCCTCCGGGGCAGATTATCCTCTCTCCTGCCTCCTGCAGGTCCTTTGTACCTGTGTCCAAAGCATCTGGGCTGGTCACTGTCAGGTCCAAGATGCAGAACGAGGTGAGCCTGGGGTGCAGTCCACTGTGACCGTGCCAAGGAGCAGAACCAAATCCAAAGAGGGAACTGGGGGCGAGTGCTGGCACAGGGACAGGGAGCCAAGGCAGCTGCAGTAGGGAGCAAAACCAAGCACAAACTATTGGGTCTCTTCTCTCCCCCCTCCCCCCTTTGTGATATGGCTCCTGTGCTGCCCAGCAAACCCCAAGCCCCTCTCAGATGGCAGCTGCTCTACTCAGTGTTGATGTGGACACAGGGATCAAGCACAGGCGTTTCCCCCCTCCTTACCTGGGTGGCATGAGCTGAAGGCAGCAGGCTCCCAGCCCCTCTTCCGCTGGTGACACTTGTGGAGGAAGGAGAGAGATGCTGGCTTGCAATCTCACGCAGATTCACAGGCATTTAGGGCTGGAAGCTCCATTCGTTACAGATCTGGACACTCTCAAGCATGAAGTAAATCCCTGGGCAAGGGCAGCCAGGATCTGAGCTGCACAGTCCTGTCCACCCACCTGCCCAGCATATCTTCAAAATCACACCAAGCCCATGGCAAAGGCAGTACCTGCACTGAGCTCTCTCTCAGGTCTGAGAGTAGGTGTCAAATATGGCTTCTGTCCCTGCAATCACCTCGAATACACATCCCAAGCCCCTTGACACCAGCCAAAAAGGGGCCCATTGACTTTGGTTTACTCTGGATTGGACCTTGGCATGAAATGCAGATGCTCTGCCTCTAACAGGTGGGGCCTGTCCTCCTCATCACCCAACAGGACCCATGAGCCCCTTACATTAGGATCAAACAATATCGAGCTGCTGGAAGAACCCTGGCTGGGGCTTGGGTTATTCAATCCTGATGGATGCCTTTGCAGTCAGAGCAGATTAAGGCAAGGAAGCATGGACTCAGAAGGATGCCTGAGGACAAGTAAGAAGATACAGGCCCCGTATTTATCAGATTACACTGGCGTCATTTCCTTTGTAACGAGGTTATACCTTTGTTAACGGTGCTGTGGATCATCATAGAAAGCCACTTGCTTGTCTTCACAAAGAGCACCGAGAGCCAGGGACAGGAATTAGTATTTAGATGCTAGTCAATTATTAAGTCTCTTGGTGCCTCCTGCAAATTTGGGCTAATGATTCTGTCCCGTCTGTAAAGCAATTTCCTCTACAGATGAAAACTGGTAGATAAGAGCCATGCACGGTTATAATTATTTATTAAGGCCCCTCTTAAAACCTTACCATGCGAATGATCCTGCTAATGGCAAACAGGACCGAAGCTAAGGCTCAAGTCCTGTAGTTGGGGCCACGCAGAAGAGCCTTCGTACACAAGAGATGTACGCGTGTATATGACTGTGTTGTATTCTAGGTCAAGGACCTGCTTGATTTGTGAGTGTTGTAGCTCTCCAAGCATGCTGCCAGTGCTAAAATAAACACACGCACGATATCCCTGGTATAAAGTAGATGGGTTTCCTTAAATAGTGCATCCAATTTCACAATGATTTAAAGAGCAAAAAGGGCCCAACATATAACAGCAGGCCTAGTAAAAGGTAAGGGATGATACACAGCAGCTTTCACATAAGCCATATGCATTCAGGACTGTTAGGAGTTATAATCAAAGAATAAAACAGTCAATCAGGTGGAGATGGAGGGAAGCAGAGATCAAAGCAAGGCGGAGAGAGAGACAGATGAGACTTGGAACGAGGTGAGAGTGAGCAGGGCAGAGGTGTTGCTGGTTGTAGCCGTGTTTGTCTGAGGACATAGGCAGACAAGGTTCTTTGGGCAGATGTGATCTCTTTTATTAGACTAAATAGTTGGAAAAATTGTTCTTTGCCAGCTTTCGGGCACCAACACCCTACTTCGGGCATCGGGAGAGTCTGCTGGTGTTACGTGTTCTCCAGGGTGGAATAGAAGCCAATATGCAAGATGCAGGTCTGTGAAAATGCAAATGCAGGGCAGAGGTGGATACTTCAGATAGCAAGAACTGGCTTATGGCTTGAAGGACAGAGCTGCCTGTGGAAAAATTCCTCACGGCTGCTAACATCAGCTTAGGTTCAGCAGCATTATCAACACAATGGGTCCTAGCAAGGGCTGAGCCACCAGCCTCTGAGACACCACAGTCCTAATCTTGTCCCAGCTGAAGTCCAGCACAAGATGGCTTCGTGACCGGATTGGAAAAGGGATGGATTCCCTTACTCCTCCCATAGGAGCTGGTCCTGACCAGATCCTAAGTGCTGCCAGCTAGTTCTAGACCAAGGATCCCACTGCAGTCCTCAGGGACAAAGGTGAGCCAGCACTGGCAGCAGTGAAGAATGCAGCAAAGCATCCCTAGTGCAGAGAAGGCCAGGGAACGCTTCGGTTCTAGCTGTGTGAGAAGGCTGGCAAGTGTGGCTGGGCACCTCGAACACAGGAGAGAGGGAAGCAGAGCTCATGGGATCAAATACGAGGCTCAGAAATGCATCCGTGACCAATTCCTCTTCTTCTGGATTATTTGCAATGACAGAGCATCTAGGGCGCCGCTGTGCTTGGCTGTGTACAAGCACAGGACAAACAGATGATCCTGGGCCTGAAGCGCTCATGATCTCAGCAGAAATAGCAAGAATACATAGTTCTTGTGATATTTTAAATGAGTAGTGCTTGCAAAGGACATTTCTGAGAGTCCCATTTTAGAGATAAGAAAACTGAGGCACAAGATGCAAGTAACAGCTCAGTTAAAAAGGCCATGCAGGTATTTATTGATTAAATGCCCCAACTGAATGCCTTGATGGGTATTTACCCATGTGATCTTGCCATAAACATCAACCAACAGCTCTTGCTGGGGGCAGAGGGATGCGCCTGCCGGGACCCTGGCAGTCCGGGCTGTCAAGGGGTTGTCCGTGGACCCAGAAGGAGAGCTCAAGAAAGAGGAGAAGGACAAGGAGCATTGCAGAGGGACAGCAGGTCTCTCCCTGGAGCTCATGGGGCACCGTACAGCCCTGGAGGCAAGAGAGAAATATAGAGAGGTGCCGATGCCACAGCCGGGTAGAACTCCCCTCCAGGAAAGAGGAGCCAGCACCCAAAACAGAGCAAGCAGGCAGGGCTTATCCTTGCCAGAGAGGGTGATCGTGGTTGCCTCGGGGATTCAGGGCTTTCCCATGGCTGGAAACAAGCCCATAGACCTGTATCCGAACCCAGGAGCAGGTAGAGAACCAAGGCCAGCAGCAGAGTCTGCAGCAACTGGAAGGGAAAGCGAGGCCAGAATCGTTTCCCTCTCTGCCCAAGCACCTGCCACACGCTGTGGGTGTCACTAACCCCATCGGGGCCACCAGCAGGGCTGAACATGGGGCCTTTAGCAGCACCTCGACTGCCAGCAGCAGGCCAGGACCCACGCTCCCCTCAGGGCTTACACAGGGCCTCTCCATCCAGGCCGATGACGCTCCGGACAGAGACTAGAAGGTCACTTACGGAGATACCTACAGAAGCGTGGGCCAAAGCCCTGCAACCATCAGCATCCCTGGACCCCTGTGAGTTGGACCCTTGACCGCAGCCCTGATTCCTTCTGCATTGCAAACGCCGCCTAACACCCAGGCCTCGCTCCCTACCCCACACTCCCAGCTCCGATCCCTGCGCTGCGCAGCGAGCTCCACGCAGGTCTACACGATGCTCTGCCCACCACGGGCTCCTCTGTGCTGGGGCAGACCTGCACGGAGCAGGGAGCAGAGCTGCCCTGCCACAGTCCCCCCAGAGGCTTGGGAAAGGAGCAAGGACATTCCTCAGAGCCCTCTCGACCCCTGCCCCCATCGTCCTGGCTATCAGGGTCTCTCAGGCTCCAGGTTCCCACAGACTTGCTGGCTCCTCCATGCGCAACGGCGGCAGGCTTCGGCCAGGCTCCTCTGGGGTGCGTGCCAGCAGTGCCGGCATAGGCTGCGCCCCGCCGCAGACTCTAGCATCCTTGGTATGATGAGGCCTCACCCACCAGCTTCGGCAAACTTGGGGAGAGGGGGCAGGGCCAGGCCCTCTGAGATGGAGGGGGACCAGGAGTCCCATTGAGCACCACACCTGGCTGCCCAATCTCTCCTGCCAACAGCTAGCCTCGAGCAGATGCGCGTGCCCCTTCTGTGAAGCTGGGACAACCTGGAGGTGCAAGGCCAGCCCTAGGGGCACAGCAGAGATGCCAACTACCTCCAAACACCCTGCTGCACCCCCCGCACAACCCCCAGCCCCAGGCAGCCCTCAGCAAGGAGTATGCAACCCAGCCTGCCCCCTCTGCTTACCTCTGAGCAGGAATGAGGGTGCGCTGGGCTGTGCTCCCACGGCTTCAGGGACAGGAGCAGGGAGCTGGGGAGACGAGAGCTGCCTGCCGCAGCGCTATGCCCAGTGGGACATTCTTCTGCTCCCAAAGCATCTGTTTATGGCTGCTGCCTTCCCACAGCCTGGCTTTTCTCACACTTGTGTACACAAGCTTATGGAGAAGCTCAGCCCTCCCTCATTGAGCCTGTCTCGTGCAGCGAGTGCAAGCCAGGCTGGGGCTGGTGGAAGGGCCTGGGGGAAAACGAACGGCACCCCGGACCCGTCCAGCAGAGGCTCGCCATACACTTTGCAGGCTTGAAAGAATTGAGCCGGACAATGCCGACAGGTTATGACTTCATTACAGCCAGGGAAACTGAGGCATGCCGAGGGGAAGCGGCTCGTCCGAGGTCACCGAGAGGGAACTCGGGTCTCCAGGCTCCTAGGTCTTTGTCTCTGCCCCGTAGGCCACTTCTGCCAGCTCTCCAGCATTGTGCTCCTGCCTCCGCTGCCCCCTGCACCAGTTTCCCAGGCTGCTCCCACCAAGCACAACCCAGGCTCAGGGTCCATGCCTTCTTCTACCCGTCCAGCACCAGCCTCTGACACATAGCACGGCCTCCCCATTTCCTTCTCTAGCATCCACCTGCCATTTCATTTGAAAGCACAGCTGAAAACATTTCTTGTCCAGTCCTTCTAACCTCCCGCAGCCCTGCAGGCCCTTGATACACAGGAAGCGCAGCCTAGCGGCACGGGGACTGGGAGAGCTGGGTTGCCCTCCTGGATCTGAGCCTAACTCGTCATGTGACCTCAGGGACATCACTGCGCCTCTCTGGGCCGGCTCCCCTAATGGCCAACCTCCGATTCTTCCCATATTTGCATTGCAATTGCACTCCCAACCTCAGCAATGTTAAGGCCTCTTTGTGCCAGGTGCAAGATAAACACAGGGCTGCGACAGTCCGAGCGCTAAAGAGCTTCCAGCCTACGACAGACCCACAGGAGCCACGGGAAGGTGAATGACTAAGATGTTTTAAAATCTGTGCAAAGACGATGCACTATTAGCAGGCGATGGAAAGGTCTGGACATTAAATTAGCAAAGATGTTATTTCTGCCATG